GTTTTTCCTCCATGTGCTTGGCGCATAGTCAGTGTGGGTTGCAGTCAAATCAAACGGTGTGTTGTTCCAGGAGATTCGCACATTTTGGTTCCAAGCACTCATTTGGAAGCTTGGGTTTGCACGTCTCACAAATGCCCACATTCACCCATCATATTTCTCCCTCATGGGTACCGCTGAAGAAGGATGGTGCTGGGTACCGGTGGAAGCTCATGTTGTATCGGCTAGTCAAGAGGACTATGAGACCGTCGCCACCTGGTTGAAGAAGCAGCTGGGCAGCTTGGCAGTGATAGTCTGGTTGGTTTCCTTGTTTTCTATTAAACCTTGGGCCTTGGGCCTTGAATGAATGGCTTTGATGCTCAGAGATTCAGGATGTTTCACCGTGACATCGTCCTTATTTCTTTTGTGCTTGTGAAATCTGCGGGAATTTTGCTTGAGTGTGCTTCGATCAAGGGTCCAGAGTCCAGATCCTTCAAAAAAGAGAGAGAGAGAGGCTAACGATTTCGAGGTGAACGGGTACAGAAGGTGCAAGTCTCTGATCGCCTAGTTGAGTCCATGGCCACCTTGGTGCAGGGAGATCCTTGGGCTGCTTTGGGCTGGACTCTTCTTGATAGGGAGAGGGTCAGCATGGGCCAGTTAGCAGCTAGCACTTTCATTTTAATCTTTTGTTTTCTCTATTTTTAGGCCGCAGCCTGGCCCCCTACTACTTAATTAAGTAGGCGCCTACTTAGTTCAGTAGGGCCAAGCTAGCTCCTAGGTAGGACGCGGGATAGCTCACACTTCTTCAAGGAGGGCGAGGGAGAACTTCCTTCACACGACTCTTCCTAGTTTGTTAGGACTCATTGAGATTGAAGATTCCTTGCTCACCAGATCAGGCTAATTGAGCATCGCAGCATCACATTACATTTTCTATTATTTTCTGCTTGTTCGGCCTTTTTGTGCTTTTCCAGAAATGTTTGCTGTAAGGAATGGGGCATGTCTCCAATGATGCAGCGATACATGAAGTCGCAGACCACCTCCAGTGCATCCGACAGCGCGTTTGCAATTGGATCCCGCAACCAGGTGCTGTTCCAGGGCTAGGATTGTATAGAATGATGCGCTGATTGGAGTGGCTTCAGTTGCTGAACTCTTGAACCTTGGAAACCTACATGTATGCATCCGAAAGAAGATGCTTACTAGCAGACTAGCATGGGCATCGGTGCAGCATAAACAAGCAGACAAGTGAACACCCATCCAGTTTGAAGTGTAGAGGCAATCCTGGAGATCAATCCCAAGCACAGCGTGATCAAGGCGCAAGAGGGGGAGTGGAGTTCTGACCAGACAGGATGTCTTGCAAGTCGGGCTCATGTGTTGACACACTGGAGGCTCTGAAGGAGATGATGGAGAAGTCTCCTGACTCATCAGAGACCGAAGACATGGCCACTCGGCACAGACTTCACCTGCAATTTTTGCCTAGCCTAGTCCGCTGTTGACCTGTCAGGTTATGATGATCTACGAGACAGCTGCACTCATTGGTGGCTATACCATCGAGGATCCAGGCACATTGAAGGTTTTGGTTGGATGAAGAAGCAACTGAAGCATTTGCATTGGAACATTTGCACCTTTGTTAGAGAGGGAATCTCCACAGGCCCAGTGTTTTCGCTCCTAAGAGCCGCTGTAAGTCTGAACAGTGTAAGGTCAGGTTATATAGCCACAGGCAAAACTTAAAGTCCTTAATATTAAACACATTTATACAGTACTAACATATTATGAACTTATGAACTGTTGATGACCATGCATGTGAAACATCTTTGATTATTTAATGACACTAAATTGCTTACTTCAATTGCCATCTCGAACCTTTCTAAAGGGAGGGGTATTTATTTTTGGATGGTTTTTTGTTTCTTTTTTGGATTTTTTTTGTTTTTCGTGGCTTCTGGCTTCTGGGGCTTCTGGCTTTTGTGGCTTTTGGCTTCTGTGGCTTCTGGCTTTTGTGGCTTTTGGCTTTCGTGGCTTTCGTGGCTTCTGTGGCTTTTGGCTTTTGTGGCTTTTGGCTTTTTGGCCTATCCATCTATCTGTCTATACCTATCTATTTATCTATCTATCTTTCTTTCTTTCTTTTGGCAGCTGTTCTCCTTTCTCTTTTTGTATTTGCTTTTCCTGTTGTTTTCGTTGCAGAGACGAAACCAAACAAGGAAGCAAGCAAGCAAGCAAGCACGAGCTGCTCACCTTTGGATCTGGTGTGCTGCTGGGGGGG